ATCTTGTTAAAACATCAAATATTTGAAATTATCACAAACAATTTATTCTTTCGATAATTCAGTGGCTATGATGAGGTTGGAAGATCTCAACAACTATTTGTCTTTCGTTTTTTTCACGTTTGATTGATTAATTTTTGAATTTTTTCTAGGAAAGTAAGTCCTTAAAAATGAAGAAATTGAACACTTTACATTGATTGTGTGCTTCTCATCCTTCAACACACATCGTTTTCATCTCACCTCTACCCCACATTTTATAGAATTTATTTAGGTTAAATATAAATATTTTTAGGATAATGTTTTTTATTTACAAACACAAAAAATAAGTTAAAAATCCTCTTATAAGAATATTCTTCATAAAAAAGATTGTTCCTTCGTACCGAAAACACCCTTAATCTGGGATGCTTGATGCCCATTTCCTTCTAAATTCTTTAATTACAGATTATGAAACAGTGCATTGATGAGAAAAACGAGTCTGGTTAATAATTCTCTAGATTATAGTATGTTTCAATGTTCATTTTTATTTTTATTTTATTGGTGTATGGGAACTGGAAAAGTTGCAAGATATTGAGCTGAAATGTAGTTACAATCTACAAATACGTGGAGTCTTCATAGCAAGTTTTAACCATGACAAAGAATTATTATTTTTTTAATTAAAGGGAAGGCGGGACTCCCATGCGCCTTACAAGGCGCAGGCTATCAGCGCCCTGTAAGACGCAAGACGGCTGTGCCTGTAAGGCGCATAAAAGTATGCGACTTGTTGACTTTAATCTGATTTGGACGGAGTTAATTTAGGCGTTAAAAATTGTCATTTTGATTCTAAAATCAATTTTATTGCCCTTTTGGAATTTTTGACAATTTTGTTTGCCCTTTTGACTCCGGACTCAATTATATACTCCCTTCGATACAGCCAAAAAAATATATTCTCAAACCATAAATTTAGTAGGCGTTAGGACATGCGATTTCATATCGTGATATGAAAATTATGAGATGAAATCAGTGTTTTGATATGCGATTTCATATTGATTTTATCTCATGATTTCATATCGTGATATGAAATCCCACATTCTCTAAAAAGCATGATTTGGGACTTTTCAAATAAGAAAATTTCCCCACAAGTTTATATTTTGTAAAACAACTTCACATTTATATCTATTCACCATTTATGTATTTCGTATGTAAATAAAATTTATAAATTATTTATTTTTACCAACATAAAAAATTTTAGTACTTCAAATCATTTCCTACTTAACCATTTATATTCACCAAATTTTTTATTTTTTATCAAATTTATTTATCAACCAAATTGAACAACAACTGGCTCAAATCAACAATGTTGGTTCGTCACTTTGTCCTCTCGGTCATATGATCGAGAAATGCAAGTTTAACGTGAGAACATTGTACATACTATGTGGGATGATTATATAAAAGACTAGTACGCTATAACTTAATTATATTTAATTTTATTGAATTAAAATTTGATCAATAGAATGTTGTACTTTTTAGAATAACTCTATGATAGTATATTATGTGATTTTATAAACTTTTACTTATTTGATAAGATTGTATAAAGAATTGAGACAATTTTAATAGTTTCACAACTTATGGGGTTTTTATGTTTATGAGAAAGGATACAACATAAAAAATCTAAATTCCATATTCAAACAAAACTATAATTTCATTTCATAATTTTATATCATGATTTCATATCGCATGGCTAAACGAGCCCTTAGTAAAAATTATGCCTCAAGCATAAGTTCAATAACATGTACAAATTATATTTTTTTCAGATAAGCTTAGTGGTATAAGTTATACTCAAGTTAAAAGAATTTTTGCCCAATTAATCAATTCAGCGACATAAATTATGTTTGAAAGCAAAAAAAAGTTAATCTCCAGACATAACTTAATTTCAAACATTAAATAACTTGGGGATAAATTAATATCTCAAATCAAACATAAAACAAAATTAATTTCAATTTTTTCTTTGAGATTATTATTTTTATCCTAGGTATCAAGCATTTTCTAACTTGGAGTTCCATTAGACAATGTGTTACGCTAACGATGTTAGCATAATAATAATTAGATTCCTAGTTATCCTATAAATTTTAGGAAAAATTGCAGAAATTTCATCTTTTAGTTTACTTATTACTATTATCCCCTATAAGTTTTACAAATCTCCAAAATCCCTCATTTTCTTGCATCAGATTAGTGTATCTCGCTCATCAGATAGTGTATCATGTATAAAATGTACATCCGATTAGTGTATCTCGCGCATCAGATAGTGTATCTTGTATAAAATGTATACCAGATTAGTGTATCATGTATAAAATATAATGTATCTTACTTAACGATTAATGTATCTAGCGCATCAAATTAATGTATCAGTGCTTATATTATTGTATCCGTTTTGAGGGATTTCTGTAATAATAAACTTTTAAGGAAAAGACTATAATTTTACCTTAAAAGTATGTGATTTCTGTAATTTGCCCTAAATTTTAATCAAAGCAGGCCGGCCGTATATATATTGACATTGCTATAATCTTTATTTGGTCCAAATTAATTAGTATTATTCAAGCTAGTTTTCCCCTTCTAAAATGCGTGAACAAGTCACTAACAGTCGTAGAAAGTAAAATTCTAGAGATCTTGTCATGTACCCTGACAATAATTAATATTATTTAAATTTTAATCACTTGCAAAAGAAGGGGAGGGAATTTGTATTTTTTTTAAAAAAATTGAAAAGCAAAAAATACTCTTTGGTGGTAGTTTTTAGATTTCGAGAGTAAAAAAAATAAATGTGACTGTTAATTTTTTCATACGTCTTTTAAATATTTTAAATTTTCAATTAATTATTATAACTATAATACTTTTTATGTAATTTTCAAATATGAAAATTTTATTTTTTAAAAAAATTAAAAGGTTCCATTTCCAAATTTACAGACTCTCAAAATTCGAACGGTAGAGAAAGAAAATAAAATTTTGAAGGTGGGGGCGGGGTGAACAAAAACGTCTAATTAGGTATTTTTATATTTGAACCGGATTCTTTTTTATTATACATGGAGTTGTAAGTCTTTGAAATATCTTTCACCTCAAAATGCATTAAGTTAATTAGCTAGCTTTTATTATTATTTTTTAATTAACTAAGGGAGACGTACAATATATCAGTGGGGATTAGAGACTTTGAGATTTGCATTATTCTAATCTTAGGTCAGCTAATTAATTGCTGACAAAACTATATTAAAATAGTACATATATCTTTTTTGTTTGCTTTGCTTTGGTGCCTATCTCTTGTATATTATACTATAAATAATTTAAAAAACAAGATGGTGGTGGCTGCTATAGTTAACAATATTGACTGGCAAACATGAATTAGGAACTTGTTATCTTCAACTTAATTACGCCCTGTTTGTATATATCTTCCTTAATTTAAGTTCTCTCTTAGCAATAGTGATTCAGCCATCATGTGACCTAATTAATCAGATTGGGATTTCTTTATTTCTTCTTTTACTCATCATATATAAATCTGGTCAAACTTATAATTAAGTAATTTTGTCATTGTCCTAATCTAATGTACCGTTTAGGTTGTACAAAGCATGTGGTTTTAGTTTTAGCTTAGACTTAATAATATGTTAGTCATGTGGTCAAATACGGTGAATAGTGGGATCCGATCCTGAGTAAGCCTTGAAAATCGTAATGCCATTATGCTTTTCAAATCCTCCTAGCTATTATCCTCACGGTACGATTCCTTACTATCCTAACGTGAGGATATATATATAAATGTTGTCATTTTGAGCTCCCTTTATTCTATTTTGAAATTCACAATAATCAGAGGCGTATCTAGAGGGGTTCCGTGGGTTCACGTGAACCCATGGTCTCCTCTCTAGATCATATATATAGTAGTGTTATATTTTTCAAAAAATATTTAAATATTGAGGTGTGAACCCACATTAAAAGTAGCATATAATTATACGATGATGATTGGGTGCACCTTTCTAAGCAAAAATATAAATTTAAATCTTATATCTATCTTACTTTTTTAGTTACACTCCTCCAAGTGGTTTTTCGGACACACTTTTGGCGTTTCAATCATTTTTTCTTTTATTTTTTGCTTTAATCTTTCAAAATTTTCAAGTGTGTTATATTGGAAATTCCTAAACAAAATAGAAATGTAATTGTTTTTTATAATTAAATCAAATGTGGATATTAAAATTAAAACTAGTAGTATTATATTTATTGGACCTATAATTTTGAAAATATAACGGTTCAATGTTAAAAATATAAAGATCAAATCGATTAAATTTATATCTTAAATTCATATTTTCGTAATAGTGCACCCATCCTTCCGAAATCCTCAATAAATTCACATGCAGGATATTTGATCATGTTGTATTGCAATTTGTAGGAGGACAGAATAGAGGATGTGAATAATTCATTTTTCCGATATATGCATGAATATTTTTTCTATATATCAGGAAAATCATATGATAGATCATATTGAATTAAAATAGGATGAAAAAAATGTTAATGTAGGAGCATTATGATTTATGGTTGTAGAGGAAATGAGATCTTTGGCATGTCTTCTTACAATTTGAATTATAAAAATTAGTAATTTTTTCGGATCTTTAATGTGTAAAAATAAAGATGTTCTTGCATGTCCTCTTATACAATTTAAATAGAAAAAGTAATCTTTTTGGATATCTTATATATAAAAATAATGATTATCTCTGGTTAAAAGGTCATAAAACTGAAAAAAAAAAGTTTGTAAAGATTTGGAAAACCATTTCTTCCACTTTTTTTTGTCCCACAAAAGTACTCTATGTTTACTAATTTTTCATAACAGTCTAAAAATGAATTCAAATCATATAAATGGACAAAAAGGAAGGAACAGAAAAGGACAATGCCTCTCCATTTTGAAATGTACATCACATTCACCTCTCCCCAAAAAATATTCAAAAAATAATAAAGATTTGTGTTTTGACTATGGAGCCAAAAGAAAAAGAAGAAGCTTTTGAATAAAGAGATATATAATTTTTTTTTTTTATCTTTTCTTTTATATTCATTTTTTTTTACTTAAAAGTACCATGAATACAATAGTTAATAAATCTTTTTCTTAGTTCATGATATTTGGGCCTGGGCTGCAAATAAATGGGCCAAAGATTGGGCTTTTCTAACACAGGAAGACTTCAACACTCGAGTTTCTAATGGAGAGACAGAGTGGACATGCTTGTACCACAGCGTCACAATCTGTACACACACACAAATGGCGGCACGGCAAAAGCACCACCGACGCAGCTCGCTTCCGGCAAGCCTTGCAACTCGGCCCGGTTGACTCCACGACTCGATCCGGATCGATGTAAGCCGATTCAGCATCCTCAGCTTCGCCGGCGCCGGCGATGTCTCCGTCCGGGAGGTTCGCATTGCACCCTCCGCCGTTCATCATCGCCTGCTGCAGCTGTGCCTGTAGCGTTGCTGCGGTGAATTCCTCCGCTCTAGCCCTTGCCTGCCAGGCTTGCGCCTCTGCACTCAGCTGCGCTGCACGCGCCTCTAACTCAGCGTTGCGCCGAACCGCTTTTCCAACCTCGGCTTCCTTTTCCTTCAGCTGCCGTGCCATTGATTCCTCGGCGGTTTCAATCAGAGCACGATAGTGTGTTCGCCTTTTATCCTCTAATGTCCGTCTTAATTGTTCTCTCTGTTAATACCAAACAGAATTATTATTCATTGTAATACAGCATACAAATAAAAAAAATGCCCTAAAATTTGTGGTACCATTTATACCTGAACATGGAGGAATTGTTCAATTTCATCGCGGTGTTGTTTGATTATAGTAGACATGTCTTCTGTGAATATGGAATAGAAAGCTGATGATTGAGAAGATTGAGGAGAAAGAGAGTGTTGGTTTTGTTGCTGCTGCTGCTTCTGATACTGTTGATGTAATTGGTGTTGCTGATGCTGTTGTTGTAACTGTTCTCCGGAAGCTAAACGGAGGCCGGTGGAGACAACATTTGGTTGCTGCGGATTTGTATGAAGCTGAGTGAGGTCAATCAGCTGCGGCTGAGATTGCATTGACGGATTCATTGCAGTGGTGGTGCTAACTTCTCTTCTTCTCTTACACGCATGATAAGAGCCAGCTGCCATAGCCAAAAACACAGTAATAAGGTTACTCCTCTGTTCCTAACCATTCAATTAATCAATCGCAGTATAAGAATAAGAATAGTTCGGATCGGTCAAAATTAATAATACATCCTCTGTTTTTACCTCCTGGATTGAATAGCATTTGTGTGTGATCAAGAATTGATCCTCCACCAGGTTGAGGTTGCAACGAATAATCATCGTTGCCAAGTGGGTTCTTTCGTTCTTGCACAGCTCTGCAATCAATGAAAAACCTTCATTAAGTTACTAGTAATGAGAAAAAGAAGAAGATAAATTTGAGAGGGAAGGGAGATGTGTACCTGTTAAAGAGGTGAGCGTTAGATGGGTATTGAGCTTGAACAGCCATTGAAGAATGATCAAAACAGAAAGATATGTATATATATATATATATATATAGAAGGGATTTTGATTGGTAAAAGAGAGTGTTGAGAAAGGGAAGGCCTAATTAAGGCAAACACATAAACAGCATGAATGAGAAGAAGATGCCCCAAACTATGGAAATATATCAACAAGTGAAGACAAGTATTCAAAGACAAGAAAGAAACTTTATTTGATTCTCGAGAGAGAAGAATGAATCTTTTTCTTTCTTCTTTTATGTTGGAGAAGAAGAAGCCAACCTTAACCCATTATGAAGAACACCAACATGACCATGCTACACCACACTAAGAAACTTTTTATGTTTTAGTAGTAGTTACCTTTGCTTCACCTAAATGCTTTTTATGGGAGAGAAAAGGAGATGCGATCAAAACGAATGAGTCCAAATGGGAGAGGGAGAGCCCCTCTTATTGTGGTTCCTTGTTTCCTTGCTCTTCTCTTGTTCTTTCGCGTGGGCTTTGTTTCTTTTGGCTTTTCTTTCAACACGGCAAGAGGGACTCTCGTGTTTCTCATCAATCTCCTCCTTTTTCTAATCCTAATATTACACTTGTCTTTTTTACTTTCACTTTTTTTCAAGGTAAAACGCTTTTCATCTTTTCCTCCCAATATTTATGGTATTTTTGTATCATCCATATACTACCGTACTAGTATTAGTTACATGTACTATTGTTTTATAACAATGGACACACATCCTTATAATTGTACATTAAAAAAAAATTAGAATTCTAAGTAAGTAGGTACGATATAGGTATAATCAATCAACATTTATATCTCTAACTTTGGATCTATACAAATAAATATTTAAATTTGTGTAAAATTGAACAAAAAGACACATGTCTAACGTGACATAAATACATCACACAAGATGTGAATTGTTACATAGAATGCATGTGTCTATTAATTTAACTTTATTCAAGTTAAATATTTACTTGTATACGGACATAAATATCAGTTGAAGTCAAGTTAGAAGACACGTTTATGTATTGTAAGGTGATGTGCGGTTCATTGTTGTGCGTGGAGAAGGTTAGGCGCTGCCGCAGGGATTGTTGTGTATGGAGCATGGCCCATGCATCCTCGCCACCTCTCTAGTTTTAAATAGCAAAAAATAAAAAAAATAAAAAATCAATTGAGGTCATTATTACCTCTACTACGATCTCAATTAATTCGAATTCATATTAAGACCCACTCAAGAAGGAAGCACTTTTTATATTTTAAAAAGATTATTTTTTTTATTTGAATTTGAGACTTCTGATGAAAAGGAACTTTGTTTATTTCTAATCCTCTCCCCCTACTAAAATAATCGTAAAAAGGAACCAAGCCTTCAATTTTAGGTTAAGTATATAAAATAAATTGTCTACAATTATATTGGTATATGGACCATTATTTAAAACGAAAAGAGGAGTTGTCCCTTTACATAGAGAAAGGGGATTGGTTTCACTTCCATTAGTAATAAATTTCGATGTGTGTGACGGAGGATCCATGGCTTAAAGCAAGATGCCTCTCTCTATAGATATCTAGTTGTGAAGGCTATGTCACCCTCAACATCATCATACAAAGTTTTGTTCCATTTTCCTCTTTCGTTTCTAGTCGTTATTTGCCAAAGTGGGGTCCATAAAATATTATGATTCTTATATTTGGAACTATGCTATTCGAGTTAATGACCTCCATTACTAATTATAGATTTCTTTTGCCTATTTCTTATCATTGAGATTTGATGGATGAGATTCATCTATTCGTATAACATTTAGTGATACATACATAAGTTAAACATTTCAAATTCAAAAACAAAAAAATATATTCCTATAAAATAAAATAATAAATCAAGACTATTTTATCGAGATTTTTCTTTGAGAGTTATTTTACACTTCCTTATTATCATTTTTCTATTGAAGCAATTATTTATTATCGAGCCGTTGAAAATGAATTTCTTTTTATTTGGAGCGCCACCTCAAAAATGAGTCCTAGAATATGCAAATCAGATTTTAGTCAAATTTCAATATAGATACTAAACCGTGAGTGAAAAATTTTAAAAAGTACATATTTGTTTAGTTTAACTCCTTAAAGTCCAAACAATAAGGCATCCTTGTCTTAAATCCTATGGTAGAGCTGCTCCCGGTTGATAGAATTGAAAAACTCAAAATTTGCTCTAAGGAAACTATTACTTGGTTTTCAAGTTCTTATTTTTATTTTTTTGGGGTCTTCAAGATTCAAGTACTAGTGGTTAAAATTGGTCAAAGTTTTTATAGTTGGACTCTAAAACAAAACTTGACAAGTAAAAGTGAATGCAATAAGTATTTATTTCTTGTCAAAATTCTAGATTAAAAAAAATGATAAATGAGATTCATTTGCTACTGAAAGAATAAAAAGGTAAATAATATTAACTAAAAAAGTAAAAATAAAAATAAAAATTAATGGAAGCAAAGGATTTTGATAGTTTGGAACTTTGAATTCATTAGTATAAAAAATTGTCTAGTACTATTATACTATATATAGACCTACACAATTTCAAAATTTTAGAATTAGCAAATATAATAGACATAATAAGGCTCTATAAGCTATAGTTATAGTTTCGCTAATTGCGTCTCATAACTATAATTTTGTTTGCTATGGAGGTTGCGGTTTGTATATTTATGTCCGTTTGTATATTTCACTTGCGATTATACAAATAGGGTAGGTATATATACAATTTTTATATTTATACATTTAAGAATTTTTCAGAACTTTGTTTGTATATTTCGCTTGCCAATATACAAACAGGGTAATTTATTATGATTTTTTCATAAATAGTATACAAATAGCTAGGGTAAGCATATACAAAATTCTGAATTTATACAATCAAGAATCGAATTATACAAATTCTGAATTTATACAAATCAGAGGAATAAAATTGGAGAAACTGTAGCCGCGAATTACAATTTTCTTAAACGGTAGCTATAGTACCTAATATAGGCTAAATGTTTACTATTATGCATAATTTTCCATTATAATAAATAGAGAATTGTAAAGAGTTTGAGAAAAGATTTTAAATGTGTTTGGATTAGATTAAAAGTTGGTCAAACCTACTTTTAAGTCAGTTTTTTTATTTTTGAAAGGTTTAGCAAATATAAAAAGGGAAGTGCTAAATGACTAGAAAATTAAAAAAACTGTAATATTTATTTTATTTTAAAATAAACAGATCTTTTTCCATTTTTCAGTTAAAATGTATTAAAGTTAAAAGGATAAAAATGATTAAAAAGATAAAATAACATATATAAAATACATTCTGGCCAAATTTTCTGGCCAAAAAGATTTTTCCTAGTATATAATTCTAAATATTTATTCTTCATTTTACTTCATATTTCCCTTCTACTTTTTACAAATACATCTATTTTATTTATAAATCTTTATATTTGTATGTTTACTTTTTTCTTACATTATTTTTGTGTTTTTTATTATATTTTTTTTATATTTAAATGCAGGTGAAGAAGTAATTGAAAAATTGAATATCAATGATCTTAGTCCTGGCAAGTGTTTAGGGATCCAACACAACGAGGATGGTGTTGTCTGACAACTTCAATTTGTTTTGTGCAACGAAATGTTTGTTTAGATAATTGTTCCCATTGGCCTCCTCTTATTTAATTAGTTAATTAAGAAATCCTCTTTTAAGAGTTTTGTTAAACATCTAAATTATGCACCATATATGATATTATTACAATAGTATTTCATTTTATCAATGTTTGTTACAATGCGGCAAGTCGTTATATTTTGCTAGCTCTGAATTTTGAATAATTTCATATCAATTTCTAGTTGATGAAAGTTCTATGAAAAGAGTTACCATTTTCTTTCTTTTTTTCTTCCGTTCGTAATAAATCATAACGTGTGCCCTAATAATCTTTTTAAAATGCATATTTATGCCTTGTATAACAATAATTAGCTCTATTTAATCTCTTTCATTTGCAACAATTAGTTGACCATAAAAAGTATCATAAAATTCTTGTTGATCGATATTTTATTATAATGATATTTATCGTAATAAAATTTATCGCGTATAATAATTCTCAAGATCTTATTTCATGTAAACATATGTTTAAACATATCACGCTTATTCATTTGTGGATGTTCTAGCATCAATTATGTTTGATTCAAACACTACATATATTTATATATGAAATCAGTAATAAAATAGAAAAAATAAATAAATAACCTAATTAGTTAAATTTGAAATCACGCTATATATACAAGAAAATGACAAAAATGATCTCGTATGTTTGAGGATAGATTTTGTGAACCACCGAGTCTTAGTTGTGCTCGAAGCAATTAGGTCGAGGACATGTCTGTTGAGGCATCATGCTTAAAAAATATTTTTTAACACAATATTTGAGGATAGAATCAAAATAGTTTCTTAAAAAAGCATTTAGCAATTTTGTTCTTTAAATTTGTCAAAAGTTTAGTTTTTAACTTCCAACAAATATTTATTAGACTCTACCTCCTACTATTTCCGCACCCTATTTAACTCAGCTTCAAGGTCTCAACATCATCATACAGAGTTTTGCTCCATGTCCTCTTTCGTTTCTAGTCGTTATTTTGCCAAAGTGGGTCCATAAAATATTATGATTCTTATATTTGATATTTTGCTATTCGAGCGCTAATGAGATCTTGAAATTTCAAATTCACAAACAAAAATATATTCCTATAAAATACAACAATAAATCAAGACTATTTTGTTGATTTTTTTTTTGAGAGAGTTATTTTACACCTCATTGTTCTCATTCTTCTATTGAAGCAAATATTTATTACCAAACCCTTGAAAATGTATTCTCTTTTTATTTGAAGCGTCAACTTAAAAATGAATCCCTCACTATGCAAAATTCAAGATTCAAGTACTAGAAGTTGTTAATTTATAAAATAATGCATAAATTACAATTTGCTCTAGGGAAACTTATGTTATTTACTTGAGAAAATGACATAAATAGTCTCTTAACTATAGGAGTATGTCTAAAATAGT